TGAGGAGCCACATTCACAGTTACATAACTTTAGACATATTATACTACAAATTTCAGAATTCGGTCTACAAAATTATTTACTTCCCTACTAAATAAGGGGGCGAGCTTCCTTTTTAAATCGAAAGTGGCTCCTCAATCCATACGGACGTCAATTTATATGTGAAAAACTAGATGGAGCCGGCATTTCCTATCTGACTACTCTGAGAAGAAATTCTAGATTACCTGATTACGTTAACTACACGTGGTAGGTGTTGGACAAGTGCTACATATATGTCTACACACCAGCTTTGAACAACTTTGATCGTAACGCAAAATAACACTTCGCATATTGTCTTAAGAACAAATTAAACTATGTACTTAATAGTTACTGCTAACGATGGTTCTACACTAATTTACTTTTTATGCAAAAGAAGCTGATTTCCCAAGTCATATTCTGGTGCAGTAAAGGTTTTATTACGGTGTCGTTTTGCGTTAAAATACTAATTGGATATACATATAGTTCTCTTCAGGCAACATTTTTAATGTGGCAAACGAGCAGACAGATTACTTGATGGTAAGCAATCGGCGCCGATCAGTGTGTAAGGGTTTTGGGGATTAAGAGATTCAGGAGGGATCGGGGAAGGGTTGGGCCTCAAGTAACCTCACTCATATGACAAAACACAAAGCTGTAATTGTCTCATGCTAGTTTTCTGTGAAGCTGTGTATCACTCCGGTCGAGCCGATCCATTCGTGCCGAAGCTTGGGTCTCCCACACTTACTTCTTTGGTACTGTAAAAGTGTTATTGCAGTGTGATCTGCAATAAAATGGTAATGGTAAATGTTCAGGAAGAACTATTAATTGTACCTATTACATACACATTTGAGGCTGCTTTTTAAACGTATATGTTTTACACCTTTTTTAATAGTAGGTTGGTATATCGTGAGTTACCGAATTTATTGGGTCAGTCAATCGGCTGCCTGCGACGTGGAAACTGCTCGTAAATAAGACTTCCGTTGTAACTCGAAACAAGTAGAGCCTTTCATAGTTAATTCACAAAAACAGATTGCGTAGTACGGCATGTACTCACGTATAAGTGTGAATGCTTATTACAAAATTATATTTAACTTGTACCTAATGTATGTTTGAACTACATACCTACCTATTACGTTTGTGAAGTGAAAACTAGGAACCGAAATGATATTCAACCGATTGAACTGAAAGTAAAAATTAACTTTTGAGAGAAATTAACTTTTGATTTACTTAGGTATGACTTCTCTCTCAGGTAATGAAGAGACATTAAATATAGAGTATATTTTTATTTCAAGACATTACAATATCATCAAACTATTTTAATAATTAATATTTAATTGGAACTTTGACTAGATAGAAGTTTTGTTTAAAAACGACATCTAGGTACAAAAGTAAGTACTAATAAAGGCACCACCACTTCACAGAATGAAAATGTGCGAGTAGAATAAGGTGTAGTTACATAAAACAGAAGGTAGATGGCGCTGTTTACGGCCTCAGCAGTCTACATTGCTTACAGTGCCTGAAATTACAAAAGTGATGAATAAATACTTTCTCTCAATATTTACATGGTTTAAGCACTGTTAATTATTTTATTTCGTCTCTGGAATCTAAAACATTTACTGGAGCCTTTAATAATATATTTGAAATGTATAAAAATTATCCTGGAGGCAACATAAAAGTCAAAAAAAGGTAAAACTGGGGATGACTAGATTGCTTTCGTATTATTATCTTTTACTATTATCTAAATAAATGTATGATAGTGTCATTAATCAATAATAATAACATAAAAAATTTAGAACAAAAAAAAGTTTAAATGCTCAAAAACAATAATGTCTACTTACTTAAATTCATGCATAAAAGAAACACATCCTTACATATCTTCGCGTAGATAAAATCATAAGATAACAAAACTAAAAATAAAAAAAAACATACAATTCGGGAGAGACATGTCCATAAATTCATAGTTCCATAAATGGGTCAGCTGGACGGGAATGATACCATGGCCTCACTGAAAACCAGCATGAAACATTCACAGCGTTTCGCCGCGTGATTGAGTTTACCAGAGACCTAATCCTTCTCCTCGGAGAGGTAAGGACCTCTCCCTAATCCCTAAATCTCCAAAACCCGAATACCCAAATCTCCAAAACCCTTATCCCTAAATCTCCAAAACCCTTATCCCTAAATCTCCAAAACCCTTATCCCTAAATCTCCAAAACCCTAATCCCCATATAGGTATACCCAAAATGCTTATGCCTAAATCTCCAAATCCCTTATCCCTAAATCTCCAAAACCCTAATCCCTAAATCTCCATAAACCTAATCCCTACATCTCCAAAACCCTAAGCCCTAACGCACTCTCCTCCTACCTCTTCTGGTGTTGCGGGTGTACAAGGGCGGTACCGATTGCTTACCATCAGGTAATCCTTATGCTCTTTTACCTATCTATCAGATAAGGAAAATACCTACATAGATATGGTGACTTTTGCAGAAAATAGGTATTTATCGTATCGACAGATTGGTGACCATTAACAATACAAAGATTTTTCTGATATCGAATAAGTAAATACAATGCAATGATAAGAATACAAGAGTAAATAATATAGATATTGTGATTACTTAGATAGAAGCATTTGTAAGTATCTACTTGATATTATATTTGTCTTATTTGTCAAGTATACGTACTTATCTATCCACCTAGGTATCAAAACTTGAATAGATATTTATCAATTCAAACGTTTTTAATTCTTAAAGAGAATTAGGAGAGAACCTCTGTGTTTCTTTCGGCATTTCTTCTCAGAGAAGTCTGATAAACAATGCCGGCTTTATATAGATTTTTCTTTATATTGTTGATGTGTAAAATTGCTGTTTTATGGCCTATTTACAAAAATAAATCATTATATAATTTTACTAGAGTTTTGATTCAGTACCTACTTAATACTAGAATCGCTTTTAGAGTTGTAGCAGTCCAACATCTCCCATCTACAGATAAAAACTAATTCACTTATAGACTTTATAAGAAATATTTAAAGATACCTTATATTAGATACTATACTATTAGGAAGTATATTCAAGTAGATACACACTTGCGTAAAAAAGAGAAATACAGTTTTGAAAGATGTCGGAAGTGTCTGTTCTACCACTCCTAAAAATCTATCCTATGTTACTTTATGTTTGACAAATATCTGTGACAAGTCATTACGACTTGAAGTCACAAGTAAAAAAACATCAAAATGTCAAAATGCCTACAATCTACATAACTCTACTACTATACTACCAAGTAGCGTAGCGTAAATATGATCATGTTTCTGCGCCAGCGCAGGGAGCAAAGGGCGCTAACCACTCTGTTCTCTTTCCTTACCTCACCTTTTTCGCCTAGCTATCTATCGTCTTACTTTCAATACATGTGCGCAAACCACATCTATATGTATCTATCTCGTCTTCACTCATTTAAATTTAAGTCTGTTTGCTTGCTTCTTGCACCGACCATTGGCTCATCTCTGCATCACCCAAGGCTCGACTGGTAGAAAATGCCTAAGGCATTAAGTCCGCCTATGTACCCATTGTGCATGGAGTTTAAATAAATTAATAAAAAAATACTACCCACACATACAATTCCATACCATTTGATACTGGCAGTCTAGTCGACAACAAAGTTTTGGAGACTCGATTGCCATTCAAGGAAAAAGAGAGAAAAAAGTTGACACTCGTATTTCTTCAAGGATAGATAGATAGTAGATGGGCCCAAACCAATGTATGTATTATTGAGCGGTTGCGCAAGTGCAATAATATACGGCCACCGCCCCGGTCCAGAGACGGAAAAAGAACAGGATGGTGCTTTAGCCAGTAAGAATCTGATACGTTCCTCTCACCCGACCCAGGGCGGGAGAAATGATAGGACTTTCCCATTAAAGAAATGATAGGTTGAGTTGAGCAACAATTATTAGGTAGGTAGGTACATAAAACACTACTTTTCCAATATATATAAAAATGCGATATGCCCTTAAAACCTTCATAGTTAAGGCACGTAAACACCCACCCTAGAGGCCTGACGTAACTACAATTTTATAACGTATTTGTTCTAGGTTTCATTAGGTTTATTACTTTAGGCTGTGAGTAAGCTATAGGTATATAGCATAGGAACATACGTCATGTAAGTAAGGGGCATTTCATTTATTAGTAGTTTTAATAGCTTATGGTTTTAATTTAGCCACGCAAACATTAACAACGGAACTGGATGGAGATAGTACCTAATTCCATTAAGACCTCTTTTTGGCTAAATTAAACCTAGAACATTTTTAACATTGTCCGGATAGCCACTACTAATTAACAGGTGATTTTAAATATGGAACGCAATTCGTATGAATTTTGTGCCACATAAATTTACTAGGTAACTTATTATTTCAAGGTTCTTGTTCTTATTTTAGCTCGTAAAATGTAAGATCACAACACATATCTAGTCTCACAAAATTGAAAGATAAAATTGGATTATTTTAACAATTCGGTATTTTTCTCTGTCAAAATTTATCGTTTTACAATTCTGTTTTTATTTTAAGACTTAAAAAACATTTCTCATACTATTAAAGAAAAGGGTTGTTTTTGGCATTTTGATAAAATCATAATCGAATTTGATTAGTTGTTACATACAGAACACTAAATTTGAAATGTATATCTTTGAATTTGACCAGTTATTTTTAAGCGCCCTATTGACACTGGCAGTATAATCGACAGCATTGCATTGAAGACTTCTTGCCATCCACGAAAGAAAGAAAGCGCCAATAACGCGCGAAAACCCAAGACAGATTTTATGACACAACATACGCTAGCTATACCTAACTTAACTTACAGATATTTTATATTATTCTATGTGGGACTCCTTACAAACAAAAACAATAATAAACTTAAGAACAATAAGACAACAGAAAACAATCTCCTATCGTATTTATACTATGGTAAACATTTAAAACATTAAAATAATAGAAGAAATTCCTAATGTGGGGCAACGTTTAATTAAAAAAACAATAAAAAAATGAATAAAAAGAAAATAAAATAAATAAAAAACACTCCTTCTTCACTAACTCTCGTGGTACCTGTAATCCTGAAAACAGATAAAAATATATTACAATAATAATCACAACTTTTTTAATTTGTAAGGAGGTTTGGTTTCGTTTTTAGTCAGTAATACTCTGAAACTTCAGACAGAATCATAAGAGTTATACATTTGGAAACGATATTAATATTAATCTGCTAAGGTTCAAATATTAATATCCTTTCCAAATGTCTAATTAATTCAAAATGTCTCTTAGGTCCTTATAAGACTAAAAACCTGTCTATAAATGTAATTAAATAATATATCAAATAATAATCGTTTATATCCACAAGTTTTTCTCTTACTGCTAAATTCCCTGTTAAAACTAACCTTATATTAGATATTACTTATTTCAGAATATGACATATATACAATAATCACCGGATGTTAACCATTATCAGCAGTTATTGTGGTAAATAAAATGATATCCAGCTATACATGCTTAACACCAGACATAAAATTTACTGCAAAATTACGAACAATCTCAAACAGATTATCATTTTGAGGTTTTAATAACTTGGTAATTCTGATCGTAGTCACAAATATAGGTAATTCGTGAACTTTATTGAATAAGGAACCAAAACCATTAAAAAAAGAATTGTTCAATTCCAAAGATTAGTTTCGGGGATAAGCGCGTTCAAACCAACTCATCATGCTTATAATATAAATCATCATTATCATCAGCCAGTTTCCGAACTCTGCTGGACAAAGGTCTCTCTAATTGAGCTGATATTATAATATTACGATTATTACTCTTATATCTAAACAAATTCTCTCTAAAAAGCTAAGTGTGGGAGAGCCATGCTTCGGCACGAATGGGTCGGCTCGACCGGAGTGATACCAAGGCCCCACAGAAACCGTGAAGCAACCACAACGTTGTGTTTCGCCGTGTGAGTGAGGTTACCGGAGGCCCAATCCTTCCCCTCCCCCAATCCCTCCTCAATATCTAATCCCTAAAAGGTCGGCAACGCACTTGTAACTCCTCCGTTGCGGGTACCACCAGGTAATAAGACTGCTCGTTTGCCGACCTATTACATAAAAAAATTTGAAAGGAAATATCAACTCACAATTAAGACGCAGGCCGCTATAACAGCGAGCTTGAACCGCACGTCCAGGTCTTTAGGGAACTTGATGACGTAGCTGTCGTTGTAGGAAAACATCTCGTTTAGCATGCCGCGGAACTTCTTGTTGATGGAACCAATGCTTGTCTTGTTCATCGTCTGCAACTGTGGTATAAACTTCTTTAGTTTATAGCAATGGCGGTTGGACAACCACTTTTGGAAAAATATTAAAATTGTAAAACACAAATGGTCGTTGACACGTCTAGTACCACTTTTGATTGATAATACCATTTTCTAATGAGACTTTAATTGGTTTATAATACTTCTTAGATCATATTGTACTTTGAAGTGTGGGAGGGCCATAGACCGGCAGGAATGGACCGTATTGACCGAAGTTATACGACGGTCTCATCGAAAATCGTCATGAAACAACTCTTGCTGTGTGTTTCGTCGTGTGAGTGAGGTTACCCGCCAATCCCTAACCACAAAAGACCACACTTCTCACTTCTTTGGAGTTCATCAGGTGACGAGTCTGCTCGGTTGTTGACCTATCCCACAAAAATACTTGCTATGAATTAAATAAAAAAATTAACTAGAGAGCTTTACAAAGAGCACGCCTGTTTCCGTGCAGATAATGTGTTATTCATTCAATTATTAGCTCCAAAATAAATAAATCTACTTGTAACCACGTCACTCTGTTTGGCATATAACTCACACGTAGTAGGAATGAGCATTAATCACCAGTAATCACCACGCTTGCTCAGAGTGGATTCCAAGCTTGTGATTCCATTATAAATCTGGGCATTCGATAAAAATCAATTGCCTGGCATACCGGGCAATGTTCCAGACTCCGATAACTGATCTAAATCTCTTGCATTTTTTATCATTCCTTTTGACATTGGGTTATCTAGTTTTTAAAGTACAAGATCAAGTGCAATTTGGCTAAGACCGATTGTCTCAAAAACTTGTTTACCTTTAAGTTTATTAAAGTTTTAATGTGCATAAATCTAGTCAATATAAATTTTGCATAATTTCAAAGTAAACTGGACAGTATGAGCCGGGTTTGTGGGTCTGGTTCAATAATGTACCGCGACCTTGGCCTGGGTAAAGAGAAGAAAAGGGTTGGTGTTCAGTAAGAGGCTGAAACTCCCTCTTCACTCCCAGGGTGGGAGAACTCAATTAATACCAAACTAAAAAATAACTGTGCTCTTAAATGACAAGGCATTTTTGACTGCACCGGTTAAAGCAGTGGCTGCGCAACCAGCTGCTCTCAACTCTCGGTATGATTGACGAATTCCGATTGGATGTCTTGTCTGAATAAGTTTTTCTAAAATGAAAGCCCTAGTGAAAGTTCTAGTACTAACTAAAAAATGAATTGAAAATAACCTGAAAATCATAGTCGGTGATTTCTCCCTTGAGGCGTAGTGTGGGGACGTCGTGTGCGTTGTTGATGCTGAAGACAGGCGTCATGAGTGTGGGTTCCTTCCGGACGATGCTGACCACCTTTGTTCCCATGTACAATTCCACCTTGTCCGACATCAGCACCCCAGGCCGACGGAGAACGAACACCTGGACTCAAAAATATTAAATCGTGAAGTGGTATAGGTAAATCTTACTAATACTAATATTATAAATGCGAAGGTTACGGTGTTTTGGATGTTTGTTACTCAATCACGCCAAAACGGCTGGACGGATTTGGGTAAAATTTGTCACAGGCATAGGATACACTCCGGAATAGGACATACGACTAGCTGCGGGCGGAAGCTAGTATTGGATAAATTCGTATTTCATCAACTTTTTCTTGTTATTTTTTTAACACTCTAGGATTTTCTAGTATCTCGTTGGTGCGATTACAAATAATTATACAATTTCACATACAAATCACACACAGACCTAGAACAACAATTTCTGGATCACGCAAATACTTCTTCCGTGCGGGGAATCTAACCCGCAACACGTTGCGCGGCAGCCACTTGCCAACCATGTCAAAATTCGAATACATATGTATATACCTACTCTCCCAAATATCCGTCAACACAGTTATATAGCTCCTCTGATATTGCAGGTGTCTATAATTATGCACCTTTCAATGCAGACCATCTCATGACACATCCATTTGATCAAAAAACACTTCAGAATACATAATAACTGTTACTATTGGAGCTCGTGTCTCCTTCTACGTACATACATATGTATATGAAATGTAAAACTTTCAGAAAATTGCCAATAAAAAGGGACCGTATCTTCTTTATTGTAGCTTCATAAAGAACAGTTTGTTCTGTAACATGTAACGTGGCTAATAGCCGCTGTCCACACAAACTTTAAAAGGCCATTACAATCGTTTAGGAACCAAACAAGTGTAAAATTACAAAACAATTCTGTTTTATGGGTGACAGACTGACGGTACATACTCCTCTGCAAGTATGAATCAATTAATTGATGTGAGGATGACGTCATGTTACAGCGAGCAAAGCTGGTCACGAAAAACACTTCAGTTAGACATATTTATAGAACACTTCAATTGCTTGACGGGAAGGTGCGCCTCAGACCAGCTACTTACTTATCAAGAGGGATGTCTACTTTAGATAGTGAAAAAACTTATGGCGTCCTTATATAATTACACCACAAAGGGCAACCACGACAAGAATTCAACTTTTGAAGAAATGTTTTTAGACCGTATATAATCTCGTAGCATTTTAATTAAAAAAACGTTGAAAGGGATGTGTGTTAAAGTATGTTTGCACTCTTTCACGCAAAAACTACTGAACAAGTCTGAGTGAAATATAGCACCGAGAAAGATTTATAGCCTGGAATAACATATGGCCTACTATTTAGCCTCTCTTAACGTGGGTGAAATCGCTGACAGAAGCTAGCTAGGCTATAAGGAAAATCCAAACACGTTAACCATATAAATTATTTGTTCAGGTATCTTGTTCAGATTAATTCAGTGATATATCAGTATTCAGCAGATGTCTTATTACGTCTAGCATTTGTCTGCAATTTGTTCGAGTACTCGGATATACCTAATGAATTTGCCCGCGAATCATTTGTACTATACGTATTTATCAAGTCAAGCTCACAATCATTTTTATTTCAGTTACAACTTATTGACGATAAACATTAAATCTATACTATTTGTTTGTTTGTTTGTTTGAACGCGCTAATCTCCAGAAATGCTGGTTTGAATTGAATAAGTATTTTTGTGTTTGTTAGTACATTTATCGAGAACGGCTTTAGGCTGTAAAACATCACCCTACGATTTGTAGGAGCCGAGCAGCAAGTGAAACCGCGCGACGGAAGCCGGATTCCTACTTTTTTCCTTTCTTGCGTACGAAGTACAAATTTTTCTACTATTCTCTACTAAAATCGATAAAAACTCTTATAGCCAGTGGCGGCCAAGGCAACATTTTATGATATTCAATTGTATTTTGCGAAGTCTCATTATAGAAGACGGGACAAAAGTCATACCACCCACACAGACCTACTTCATAAATAAGGGTTAAAATATTAATATGTATAAGTAATACGTATTTGCAGACTTTTTTCCGAAGTCATGTAGCCCTAAAAGTTGTAAGTTACACGCACCATCCACACTTTTCGACCACCTTTTCTAGTATCTAGATACATTTAATTCCTACTACGATTATATTACCGTACTACATAATATAAAACAGAGTCGGTTTTCTTTAAATAGATAAGTAGAGTGATTGAAGAGGATAGTTTTTATATTTTTACGTATAATAATATCCATTAAATAGTGGAACATATTAGTATCAGCATTACACCCATGCGAAGCTAGGGCAGGTCGCTATAGTTCTTAATAATCTTTGCTCCAAGACCGCGCTTGATTTGGTCTGCACTAATTAATCCCAACAGCAAATTGAGATAAAAAGGAATTGGTCCCGATAAACGATTAATAAGTAGTACTAATATACTCTTTAACGTATACTCACCTGTTTCCCATTATTATCCACGCCATCCATGTGGAATCCTCTTGTCTTCCCATGGTTAAGGAAGGTGAAGGCGTGGCCATCTTCCTTCAAGTTAAACAGCAGCTGACCTTCACTGTGTACCGTGTACTTGTTGCCTTTATACCCTGACCCTCGCTGGTCAATGTTGACTGTTCCTAGGTGGACGAGGCGGTCCAAACCTGGAACTGGGATTTTAGAGCTGGTTATGTAACATACTTATACTTCTGACTTGTATTCATACACTGACCTCTCCTGCCCAGGGTGAGGTGAGAGGGAGTTATGTTTTATTTATGGCATAGGTGGGCAAACGAGCAGACGGATTACCTACTGGTAAGCAATCAGCCCCGCTCATGGACATTGGACAATCGTAATATAAAAGGAGTTACATCAAGTGCGTTGCCGGCCTCTTGTAGCTTATTAGGGATTTGAGGATAGGGGATTTGAAGATTGAGGAGTAGCAAACTCTTTCTGATACCACCAAGTGTTTCTCCTACTACGAGCTGGACTATGATAGGTAGGTAGGTACATCATTGCTCTTGCAACAATCCCTGATAGATATCAGCCCTAGTAAGCCCCGTTTGATGGCTATTTGTCTGGTCCTGGTCTTGCCGTGAACTATAACTACTCTTGCTTGCCGTCAGCAGACTCGCGCTTACTTTGCCAACACCTATGGTAGTCATAAGAGCCGCCTAAGGGACTACATACTACACTAATGCAAATAGCGCCCTATGAAGTCTGAACTCACTTTCGAGCGTGGAGATAATTGCAAGCCCTCTAATGCCCTCAACGTTATACGACAGAACAGACTCATAGTCCAGAATTGGACTCTCGTGTGTATTTGATGACTATAGCATAGCTTAGCTTAATCATTCTTTAAAAATTACTTGTAAGAGTATAAGTGATAATTTTGTTTGTCTTGTTGCTGTTTATCATCATCGTTACAATATAAGACAGACAGATAGACATTCTTAAAGCACAAAAAAAAGATGTTCGATCTTAAATAATGTTTTGTTTTTCTATTTTTAAATATGACAATGTCAGGAATCGGTGATAAAATACATTATAATAAAATACATATACTTATCAATAAAAATATGTACATTTTGAAAGACACAATTCGCGTGTTAAATAGAAAAAAGGCCTAACTCAAAAATGAGGATATTCCAAAATTGAACCTTATTATTGAAGCATATTTTTTAAGATTGAAATACTTTATCTTTTGAATTAGGTCTCTTTTCTGTTTAACAAGCGAATTGTAGAATTACAGCCATAGTTAGTAGGTACTAACTAGAGTCATCTCTTACAAACCTTCGCCTGTGCCGGCAGCGACGGCGTATTTTGCATTGGAGGCGGCCATTGTTTACAAACAAACTCAACAATACAAATATTATTGTTTGAACTCAGACAATTTATTCATCAACACGTTGCAAACACAAGGTCACTCACTCGTTAACAACTTTTTTTTTATGAAGTTTTAATTGATTCAAAAACTTAGTTAGATATTATTAAAAAAATGATTTATCAGTTTGGAGTCTGTTGTTAGGCAGAATGCAAAGTTTTAAATAAAAAGAACGAGGTTATATGTAAAAAATAAAATATATAGTAGAGTTCTTTTTTCACGAATGTAATGTGAGGTGACGTATGCACGGCGCTGCGGTCACGACCGGCGTGCACAACGCCAGAATTGCTACTGCCGGAATTTGTATAATATGTAGGTATCTACAGCGATAGGTACTAGTTTGTTTTATGCGATACTAGGTATATGTGCATTATGCCTTGTTGACATAATATTCCTCTGATAGCAAATAAGTAATCGAAAAGAAACGTTATCAATACCATTCAAATTAACTTTTATTGCATGAAATTCCTCATTCTCCAAAAGAGTTACGAATGCGTTGCCGGCCTTTTGAAGATAAAGGTCTCGGATATTTAAGGATTGGCATGATATTACATGGCGAACCACAACGCTCTGTGTTTTTTTCACACCGGTTTTGTGTGAGGCCGTGGTATCACTCCGGTCGAGCCGACCCATTCGTGCCGAAGCTTGGCTCTCCTTGGCTTACACTTAGAGGACTTTTAAACAATGAAAACGCTACTTTATGCACTTACAAATGCAGTTTAGGAATAATTCGTTTTATTATTGACTTTGTAGGGCATTGCCCGGCCTATATGACGCTCGGTACTTATGACCGGCGCGCGCCGCATGTCTAGCGTTTCGCTATAAGGGGTTAGGTCTTATAGAACAAACATTTAAGGCGTCTTTGTATCTACGGTCGACATACGTATTGTAAAAAAAATGATCTTTTAAAACATTCCTATTGATAGACACACACACACACACACACACATTTCATGCAACGAAACCATATTAAAAAAAAATACAGATTATTACTTACCATTAGTTTTGACGTTCAAAAGTGCCTGTAAAGGTCTAATTGGAATAAATGATTTTTGACGTTTTTTTTCATACATCATCATTAACATCAAAACCATCATCGCTTAGGTTTGCCATCCGTCCGGGTTGATCCGGACATCCGGGGGCGTCCGGGCTGGTTTCAAATTGTAGTCCAGATTATTTCTTACGCATTTATCGCCACTACACATATTTCGCGAACAACCGATTTACTCGCAAATTTGATTTTAACGATTAGAACTATGTTTTATGGTTTTTACCTAAAATCTGTCAACCATTATTGTCTCATGGACAATAATGGCGAAAAATTTTAACACTTAGGTACTACGAGTATAGTCACAAAATAGAAAACACAGCTAAATTAATTTTAATTACCTACTTATTAGGTCAATTATTAATTAATTTTCTGTTCTGTGAGTATTAGTATAGATTCCGTTCTGAACACGGTACCCACATAAGTCATTTAATTTAGTTTGCCGAATTTATCTATCAACGTTGTAGTCTTGTAGTGCAGCCGTTAAAAAAGGTCGACAGATACAATAATGGTGATGTCATCCAGTCAAGGTCAGACAATTGTTTATTAGCATTTTGAATACCTAATATACATACTATACTTACTATTTTCCTCTTAGGGACCCTTCAAAACCTAAGTCACACAAACTGGGAGGGGTCGTAAATTTGTGACTTACGTCACATTTTTATACTCTACGTGGTCGCTGTGGCAATAATAAATATCTAACTTTAAAATACGATCGGATTTAAATTAGGTGCAATGTTTAATTTAGTGTTTTAATTTTTTTTTTTTCAATAGATCTCTACTACGAAAATGTCTCAATTAGATTATTATTTCGCGATTAGAATAAAATTGTAAATTATGTGACGTTACCGTACTCCATGTGACTTTTTCCAAGTTATATGTACTTTAAATGGTTAGGTATTTAGACACCACTGACATACGGTGAAGGTAAACATCGTGAGGAAACCTGGACTTATAATTTCAAATTATAAATTTGAAATCGCCAATTCGCATTGAGCAAGCGTGGTGCTTTATGTTCAAACCTTCTCCGTGTGAGAAGAGGCCTTTGTTCAGCTGTTTGCACTTACCGATATATAGGTTGATGATGACCGTACTCCAAGCAGGGGTCCACATATGACCCAATTATGACAAAGCGGAGGAGAGGAATAGAAATCGTGAAATTCGTGTGACTTAATGTAATATCTCCAGAGATATCTCCCTGGAGATAAAACGGCTTATTTTCAAAGACTGTTAAACAATCGGAGCCGCCCATGAACACCTGCACCAGAAAATGCGCAAATGCGTTGCCGGGGTTTTGGCATTTAGGGATGGGGAAAAGAAAAGATTGTAGTAACCAACCTAACCGGCGAAACACGCAACGCTGTCCCTCAGTCAAGCCATTCGATTCATGGTAGAATACTATAAATAAGTTATCATTATTCCTTATTTCTATGTAGGTACCTAATGAGATTTAAATTCATAATGTTCCATCAATATTTTTATAATTGTGGAATAGCCATGCTTCTGGCCGGCTCGACCGAAAACGGCGGCCTCGCCGTAGACAGGCATGAAAAAAAAATACTTTTTGAGGAATAAGATCATCATATTAGTTGTCTCGCCATCGATTGGGCGAGAGGGCAGTGTTAAACTCTTACTGACTAAAAACCAGTATATTATTATAGACAGGCACTTAACCTGCAACCCCGTACATTTTATATTTTATATTGTGTTCCGCCGCATTGAGTACGGGCCATGATATCATTAGATGACCCGTCTGCTAGTTTGCCGACATATCCCATAAAAAATTACTATAACTGTAGGTAAGTTAATATGTGACGTAATTTATTTATTCGTAAAATTTAATTGCATAGGTACTTATTGAACTTGAAAACTAGCCAGAAAATTGAAGAATGAAAATATGATTCTTTTCGTAAATTTTATTGAAGATAAAAGTGGAAAGAACTATTTGTGACTAAGCAAATAATAATTATTTTATACCTGTACCAAGGTATAAACAAATTGATTTATTAGATTTTTGCTTATATCTTCATAATTATATTGTTCACCTTTCCCTACCTAGCCCTTCAGGGACTAAGAGAAGTGACGATATAGATAAGTAAGTATATTAGAAATAAAACTATAAGTAACTCAGTTTAAAGCAAGTATTTTATTTAAAATCAATTTAAAAAATAAATCACAGGTTTGAAACAGATTGGTATCGATTGTACAACTAAATAAACTAATCAGTCTATGTATTTTCAAAACAAGGCAAAGTTTTATGACTATACCTAAGTATGTGTCTACGATTTATTCTCGCTGGTGCCACTGGACTTGTCCTGGATGGGGATAGACCGCTCCTCCAGAGGCTCCGCCCTGAACGCAATGAGCTTTAGCTTTCCCTTGTCGAGGTGACACTCAACACGCTCCGGAGGGAATCCATCAGGCAACAAAAACCTCCTTTCAAAATGACTCCTTGTCCAACCATCTTCTTTCTTAATCTCCTTCTTGCCTTCCACCATAATCTCATTGCCCACAGTCTTCACCTGAATCTGGTCTGGAGTGAAATTCTGAACATCCAAATGCACTTCCACTTTCTTCCCGTCAATCTTCAGCTCGTGGTCAGAGTAGACGCCCTCAACATGTTCAATAGGCGCGGTAGCTGCTTTGATGAATTTCACTGGATCTCTGAAGAACGGGTCCCTCATAAACACAGAGAAAGGATCTTCGAAAGCCCTGGCGATGGGATCTCGAGTCGCCAGATTCCTCAGATGACGAAACCAATACGGTGCGAGTGACATTTTTATCGTTTTGTTTATTTCGCTTGGGTTTTCGCTTCTGTCGCTGTCAAACTTTGAATACTGCACAGTTCCCGCGCTGCGGCCTTTATATATCCTTGCGTACAGCGCTATCTATGTGCGAGAAGCCGCGTGAACAATCATGAACTGAACAGAAAATTCGAGCAAATTCTCAGTTGCTTATAGTAGTGACATCTAACGATTAGTAGCTGAACTACTAAGAAACTTCAAGATGGTTTTGTTCATCTGATATATTAAACTATATCTTTAATGATTTTGTCGCTTTTTTAATGTCTATATTTATTATTTTCGTGAACTGATAAACTTAGCATTTAGTTTTGCTATTCGAATACTCCACAGTGTCAAAATAATAATTAATTAACCTTACTCTATTGGCCAACAGATGTCACTGATAGCATACTGTAGTGCAAAGTCGACGGTAGCGCCATCTAGTATCAAGTAGAGCTACTAAATATGACTAGAAAGTTCAGGACACTGAAGATTTTCTGTGGACAAACAATTAACTATACATATGCATTGTGAACCTATGCATTTGAAACCAAAATAGATGATCAATAATACAACAACAAACACTATCACATTGATTTATGTAGTTACACGATACGTATACATAGGTTTTTAACTAGGAAACAAATTGAAATACACAGGTGTAATCATCAGAAATTGTTGTGCAATTTAAGATCCAAGATGATGAAATCTTGACAATAGATTACACTTTTTAAATAGTTCCCAGACCATTATGAAATCACATATCAACCCTTGAGTTATTTATAAAACTGACGTAGGTACCTACCTACATAATTTATTCGTCCACCCGCGCGATCGGAGACCGCGCTGATCATGATACCTAAGTAAGTATAGGTGAAGTTTGGACTCTTAAAAATTAATTACTTTCATACATAAAAAAGGAATATTCGTCAATTGTAGTGTAGGTAGGTATAAGGTATCTATTATTTGCATTCACGTGGTGAACTACGCATTCATCCATCATCATCAACGCAAATAGATAAGTATTCTGTGTTATATGTGTATAATAGTTCATCTTTAATTAAACTTCAAAGATAGAATATTGCAAAATTATGTAGCATTTAAAGGACCGACATTTTAAATTACTTATCATGTGATCTGGGAAGTTCACTTAGGATTAACCCGAGTTAGCTATGGTCCCTCGTAAGCGTTCCAAAGGTTCGGGTTCCTGTAGTCTCTTGAAAGGAAAAGAACAAAGCATATTAATGAATTAAACACATTTTTTATGTAGGCAAGGGGTCGGCAAACGAGCAGACTAATTGAGTACCTAATGGTAAGCAATCAGCGCCGCCCATGGACACCCGCAACCAACCACTAAGCCACTAACTAACCAAGAGAACTAAGTTGTCTATGCCCGCAAGAAGTTACGACTGCGTTGCCGATCTTTCATTTGGGGATTAGGTATTTGGAGATTTAGGGATTGGGGAGGGGAAGCATTAGGCTTCCGGTAACCTCACTCACAAGGCGAAACACAACGCTGTGGTTGTTTCACATCGGTTTTCTGTGTGGCCGTGGTATCACTCCGGTCGAGCTGACCCATTCGTGCAGAAGCATGACTCCACTAAAACATTCATACCATTATCACTTTAGTCACATGTTGTAGTTGTTTAGAAGAAAATCAGAATCAGCTGTCAGCTATAATTCCGATCAACTATTTGGACTATGTAGGTACCTAATTATAACGCTGACCGTAGAGTGTGGGAGAGCCATGCTTCGGCACGAATGGGTCGGCTCGACCGGAGTGATACCACGGCCTCACAGAAAACCGGCGTGAAACAACCACAGTGTTGTGTTTCGCCGTGTGAGTGAGGTTACCGGAGGCTCAATCCTTCCCCTTCCCTAATCCCTCCCCAGTTCCTAAATCTCCAAATCCCTAATCCCTAAAAGGTCGGCAACGCACTCGTAACTCCTCCGTTGCGGGTGTCCATGGGCGGCGCTGATTGCTTACCATCAGGTAATCCGTCTGCTCGTTTGACGACCTATTACATAAAAAAAGAGTAAGAGATCCTGGGTTCAACCATATAAACAGTAACTAGGTACATGTAGGTAAATATTCTTTTTTGAAAATATAAGGAACATGAATTCATTTCCTATTCGATCTGCATTCTAAGTGAGGAAACTGTTTTGTTGTTTTTAGTAATTCGTTCAGTTTACCCGAGGTACACAGGCCATACAATATGCTGATTACCTTTACAAATAACACTCAACAAACTAATGGAACTGAAAGAATTGACGTCAAGCTGAATACATTTACAGAATTACCAAAAATTAGAACCATTTGGCACCTAAATATGTATCTTAGATATATCCACGTGGAAATACTTTCCGATTCCGGGATGAGAATTTAAAATAACGTTGTCATCCTCATCCTTTATTTCGTCAGCCAGCGAACCCAGCTCGGAGCAGGAGAAGGAACGGGTTGGACTTTAGTCAGTAAAAACTCTAATTCTCCCTCCTGTCCCACCCAGGGAGAAGTTATGCCAGGCATGTGCAGCGCTGTCTGTCCCCAGAGTAATTATTCTAAATTCACTTATTAATCCATCAAGGATTATACATAGATGAAATACATTGGTACAAAGTTTGTATTAAAGAAAAATTCAATACGAGAAAAAATCGGACAAATGCATCCAGGTGAAGCTGTGGAGGACTTAATGTAATACCTACTTAATCCATTTCTGTTCGTCAATATGAACTTCCTATATTTGAAACTAAAAACACAGATATTTTTTAAGGGCCAAAGAGACCTTCCAAATTTGTCTTTTTTTCGTTTGGCTTTTAATTTAAATAAGGAGTAAGCTTATTTCACATTAAAAGCTACACATTAGGTACAGTTCCAGATGAGTTCCAGGCTCTGAAGTGCACAAAAAGAAAATTCTACAAGCACATGTTCCATACAGCCTCGTGAGTCTCCAGTTATTATTAAATTAAGATAATAAATAGAGTTTCTATGAATCTTTGGTTCCGTATTCATCCACTCGTCGAATTCGAAATCATTTAATGGCTATGAATGGCAGATCTATCGAAATAAAGGTACTAAGGCGAGATTGAAAGCTCCTACATAGTTTTACTACAATAAAAGCCTTAGTAAAACCTAATAAGTTTATTCTTATTTAGTACAACGAACAAACATACAATTCCACATACACAAGTCACCCAGAATCCGAGACAACAATTTGTGGATATCGCAAAGTGTTGTTCCGTGCCGGAATGGAACTTGCGACGCAGCGACACCAAGCTCTTTTTCTGAATTCCAAAATTCAGATCCGAAACAACAATTTTAATACGGAACGTAATTTGTTAGAACTATATTTCTCTGGTACTCAGAACAACTAAGAAGCAGAAACATATGTATGTATGTATTACTAAGGCTCACAACGCCCTCCATGGTGACGAAAGCGTAGAATACTTTTGTTCAAATACTCCTACTGTCCCAGTGTTTTGCTATTGACATTCAGAAGACCCGAGTAGCCTACTACAAGACCACACATTTGACAGGGACCGGACAACAGCAGACTGATAAGTAAGAGTAACCTAACAACAGCAATCCTAAAAACCCGCCCAGGGCGTTGAGATAGTGGAAAACCGTCCACACAATTATGTATGTAGGAGACCAGCCCAAGAGGTATAGTTCTAAAATAGCTTACCTATATCAAAGAAAGAAAAAGAAAGAAGAGAATTTTGTGATGATTTAACTAAGGTCGAATAAAAAATTAGAGAACAGCCAGCCGGATGTCTGAGTGCCCAAACTAAAAGAACAGTTTCCATCGGACAACTGTGTGTCTAATGTCTTAATCTTGTCTTGCCTACCTGCCTTCCCTAGCAATTTTATGGACCACTGATAAAACCCCAACATTCAACGATCAAGCTTTCATCAGGTGGGTCCACATGTCTAAGAGCGTTTCAACATGTGCTAAACACTAGAGTTGTATTTTGAACTTAGTAAAATCATACAGCTTAGCAGGAAATTATTGTAAGTATACATACAAACGGTTAAAGAAATCTGATTAAAAATTTTGCTGTTAGATTCCACTTCACAAACATAATATGTATATACTTAATATACTATTGGCGGAAGAGTGACGTCTTGGCTGTCATCGGAGGGGATGTTGGTGGGAGAAGCTACGGTTGCCTATAAAAGGGCCTGCGCGCTCAGTGGAGTCCTCTTTCTGCGTTGAGTACACATGGTACAAGGGAACCTCTGCTCGTTTGAAGGGTTAAACTGTCTTGTCTGCTATTAATTTTGCGTGTCTTTAGTTTAGATTGATCTATGTTTGTAATTTCAAAATTCGTTATTTAATTAAAATTTAAATTGTTGTTTATTGTAATTGTGTTATTAATAAATAAGATTGTGATTTGTATTTTTTTTAATATTTTCTTCCTGAAGTTGCCAAAATCAGAAGTGGGATACGCCTCGCGTTCCATTTCGTTTTGTTCGCCTTGAATCAAGACAGTTTAAAACTTCGTAACGTATTTTTTTTTTCTTTTTCTTAAGTGGGTACATTTCAACATTTAAATTAACTGTTAAGCATTTGTAACGTCCGCGTAATTAATAAGGTTCAAGTGTAAGTGTGTATTAGTGGTTTTGGTGAGTACGTTCCAGTTTTTCTTGATATTTAGAAAGCAAATTCTTTTGTTTACGTATAGTTGTAGAATTTTACAATCATATGTTTTGATTTGTTGCTATTCATACAATTGCTTTGATTTATTTAAATTTTCTACCGATTCCTTTTATTTGATTTGAAACAAGTTAGAAAGAAACAAGATGCCTAATAGCCATAGAAGAAGAGGCCGTTCAGTGAGTCGAGAATCGCGTCATCATCGTCGTGATGTGCGCTCTAGGAGCCGTGAATCTCGCTCTCGGGGTCGCATCTCACGTTCTAGGGGTCGTGAATCGCACAATAGTCGACTTGATTTGCAAGGGAATAGAATTCCTAGGCAACCTGATATTGCTTCTAACAGTCTATTAACTCAACAAATGCAACAAATTTTAGATCGATTGACATCGCTTGAGGAAGACCGGCGTGTGTCACGTGCAGCATCGCTGCGACAACCGTCCAACCAGCAGCAGCAGCTCGTGGAAGAGAC